CTCGTTCTTCATTGGTGGCCTCTACCTTGTCTGACATTTCCTTGAGTCTCTCCTCTGTTGCTTTAGCTAGGTTAAAATAACTGTCTAGATACTCGTGCTTGTTGTATCTTATCTCCTTTTTTATCACCTCTCTGTCTTCTTCACTGTTCTTAAGTCTTTTGTCGATCTGATTTAATTTCGCCAACAAATCGCACAGCTCAATGGTAGTCTCTTCATGGTCAACCGTGGGTTTCTCTTCGGCCATAGCCTCTGCTTTAGCTTGTTCCTCATTCTGGCCGGTTTCTGTCGCTTTCGTGCTCACTGTACCAAATGTTCGTGCTCTTTCTGCTTTTGGCTCTTCAGTCACGTTTTCTTTCGTTTTTATTCCGAACATTATTCCCAATTTTTCCGTAAAAGATGTCCTCTTTACTTGAGAGTCTTCTTTCACCGTTTCTTCGGTGTTGCCTATTGCATCTTCCGCGTCATCTATCGGTGAGAACTCTATGGGTTTCTGGTTCGGTTCCTCTGTATTGGGCATTGGAGTTGACTCTGTCGCCATCTTCCCTGTTTCATCCACACTTTGATCGGGTGTCTCTAGATCAATCTCGATGGTGGGTTCTACTCTCTCCCCTTCCGTGCCCTCTTTCGCCCTGTTCTCCGCTGTACTCCTTGTGCTGACCATGTTAACTGAAAAGTTCTTCTTTGTTATCTTCGGACCCATTGGTGTTGCTTTGCTTAGCGACGAATTATACTTAGCTTCGGTCGATCTTTTTTCAGCTACCGGTACCCTGCTCCGCCTCATTATTTACAATTGTTATTATTTACAATATTATTATCTACAAAAATTCTATTCTAAGGTTTAAAAACTCCAAGGAAAAAAAATTAATAATTCGCTAAAAACAATTTTTCTTGAACTCTTGTAAGCTCTTTCGTGTTAGGTTAGGATAGGGAACGTGTTGAACGTGTTGTTATACTTGGTGCTTCAACCTAACCTATTACTTTTGTAGTACCCCCTTCCTAATGCTGTTCCAAGACTTTCTCTTTACCGTCCCAAGACCGTTCAGCGTTGTCCCTGTACTTCTCGTTGGTACCTTTAGACCAGCGTCCCAAGACCAGCGTCCCAAGACCAATGGCCCAAGACTAACGTCCCAAGACTAACGTCCCAAGACTAACGTCCCAAGACCTATGTCCCAAGACTAACGTCCCAAGACCAACGTCCCAAGACTAACGTCCCAAGACCAATGGCCCAAGACTAACGTCCCAAGACCAATGTCCCAAGACTAATGTCCCAAGACTAACGTCCCAAGACCAATGGCCCAAGACTAACGTCCCAAGACCAATGTCCCAAGACTAATGTCCCAAGACTAACGTCCCAAGACCAATGGCCCAAGACCAACGTCCCAAGACCAATGGCCCAAGACCAACGTCCCAAGACCAATGTCCCAAGACCAATGGCCCAAGACCAATGTCCCAAGACCAACGTCCCAAGACCAATGGCCCAAGACCAATGTCCCAAGACCAACGTCCCAAGACCAATGTCCCAAGACCAATGTCCCAAGACCAACGTCCCAAGACCAATGGCCCAAGACCAATGTCCCAAGACCAATGTCCCAAGACCGTTTCGTACCAAGACTGCTCTGGCCCAAGACTGCCCCAAAGCTGCACTGTCCCAAGACTGTGTTGCTCCAAGACTGTCCCCAGACTGCAATGTCCCTAGACTAGTTCGGTACTGTCCCAAGACTTGTCACTGAGTGTCTGGATATAGGATTTCTTTCTTCTTCGTTGTAGGGACTTCTTGGTTGTCTGTACCTTGTACCACCACTCAAGCTCTAGTGAAAATTTTCCCAAAAACCCTCTCTTGGTTGCCAAATCTGGCCCCCCTTTTTTAGTTACCTCTTTTTGAATGTTCCCAGCAATTGGGAGCCAAAACTTGTGTGCAGGTATCTTGTGATCACCTGTTTGTATTAAAAACCAATCGCCAATCTTCCCCAAAACGCAACAATGTATATAGAAAAAATAAAATTTTATACCGAAAAAAAAAAAAAAAAAAAAAAAAAAACAAAACAGAGTAATCAACCCACCTAAAATTCAAAGGAGACAAATGTCAACCTTCTTTCAAAAAAAATGTCTGGTACCTAATTGCCACGCGTTTTCCTCCCCCCACTAGTTGTCTTATGAGGTGTCACGAAAACTGTCTATATCCGTTCCCCCCTACCGATCCAACCAGCGTACCAATCTTAACTCGAGATAAGTTTTGGATGTCCACCTATTGTTACCACGCGTGTTGATGGCTAATGTAACTAAATCAACGATGTCGATTAACTAGTTACTCTAATTCCCCCCTTTTTACAATTTACAACCGCCAACCTCTAACCTAACCAGTCCCCCTGCTAACCTCCCCCCTGTTTAGCCCCCCTCTTAAGCCGAAAAATCCCTTAAGCGCCGGGTGCTAAACCTCTCTTGAGAAAACCGTAGACCTGTTTCCAGGTCTGCTTGAGTAAAAACTGCCTCAAAACAATGGGACTCCGCTTATCCAATTTTACACTTATTTCTTATAATGTAATGTGGATTCTAACGATACCCGTTGTCCGACCTGAGAACACCCTTGTGCGTCCTCTTGTGGTGGCCCTGTGCTGGTTGTCTCTGTTCTGCCCTTGACAGCAGACCCACTTTCCCACTCGACTGGTCACCTCTTCCAATCAAGTCTCTTGGTGGTCCGTTTCGATCCTTGTGAACCTCTTTCCCACTCGACTGGTCACCCTTTCCAGTCAAGTCTCCCAGTGGTCCGGTTGGGTCGCAATCTATCTAAAAACCCTTAACAACGCCCCCCACTCGGGCACCCTACCAAGGTCACTGCTAGTTGATCGAAAAATTGCTAGATTGATCGAAACGATCGGTCTTGTAAAACAGTATGTGTATACTATTTAATTAATACAAAGGTTCGATCCAACTAATTTGGTATCAAAGTCACTGTCTTTTTTCGTTTTATAGTTTTTGTTCCTATTTGTTTTCCTTTTTCGCTCGTGTTTTTGTCCCCCTAGTTGCCCCCCTTTACTCGGTTAGCTAAGCCTCGTTCGGAGAGCGTACCAGGAAGTTTTCTTGAGTTTTCTTAAAAAGCTATCACGGTACAACCGGAAGGTTTACACGTTCCCGCTGAACCGTACCACCGGTACTCTAGAATGGGCATGTAGCCCGGAGCTGTGTCAAGTGGGTTCGACTCCGTAGTCATGATGTCGTAAAAACACCCAGGAGCGCCATAAAAACACTATGTAACAGTCGCCTACTTTAGTCACATATGAGGCTTAAGAAAAATAGGCCCTATAACCATTGGCTCAAGAGTCAGGGACACTATCTCTTGTGTTTTTCCGCCTCAAGAACGGTCGGAGCCAATTCGGTTCGCTTGCGACATGAGACTGGAACCCATTACAGCTTAAAGGCCACTACCAAAATACCCCCCCACTCTAGAAATAAAGACGTCCCCATACTTAGGTCTCGGGATACCCAAAATACATGAACGCCGTTAAAAACCGGGTCGGAACAATCCGCTTAGTTACTTTTTATTGGACAGTGGAACTTTGATCCATTTCAGATGGATCAACCTAAAACTCGCCTTATCTCAACATAACTATCATAAAATACACTCGAGAAATTTAAATTGGAACTTACATATCGACGCACTTGAATATGAGGAGTAAGTTATAACTGAGCAGCTTGAGAATTAAGTAATATAACTAAATAAGTTTTAAGGCCAATTAGTTTCAATAACAGAAGTAAGTTTTTGTCTCTAGAATCAAAGTCTCTGAATGAACCCTTTGGACACTCGAGTTGTCCACTCTTCCATTCAGAGTCCACTCCTTTCCATTCGAATAATTGTTCTGTCTCAAGTCCGTATTCGATTCTCCTGTTTTCAGGACAAGACAGCTCTACTCTCTTGATATTTCGTATCGAGAAATTGCGAATAGCAATTTCCTGCCTTTTTCTTGAGTAGTTTCCCGCAATTGTTAATTCGGGTGTTCTGATTTCTGACTTTTTCATTTTCAGTTGGTTCGAGAAAATTGAGCATGACAGGCTCGATTCGAATTTTGCAAAATTAAAATTTCACTCCAAAATTACGTATTTCTCAAGGTCAAACCCCCAGACATGACCGACTGGCACAGATCGAATCACGACTCAAAGGGATTCAATTACCCTTGCGATAGCAAAGTTATTGCAATCGGGTACTAGACTTTTTTTCCCGTAAACAACTTTGTCCACAGATTTCAGCTTGCATGAGCTATGTGCATATATTTGCGCTCATTGGTCTATTACTCTCATTGTGTATCCTTATTTTTATTAGTTTTTTTTCCAATTAGTTGGCAGTTCACATTTTTTAAATGATGTTTTTTGGTATTTTTTTTTTGATTTTTCGACGTCGTAGCTTTCAGTTTACTTTTTGTCCGCATAGTATCCGCTTTGGTTTTACGATCCATTTAATGCGCTTATTTGATTTTTAGGTTTATCAACATTATAGTTGCTTTAAGTGTTTTGATTTACCTCAGCTGATCGTTTCCAATTTTTATTAACCTTGACGTATATATATATATATTTTTTTTTTTGATTAAAAACTTCATTCTGCCCAAATGGTTTCGGCCTATATTTTATGGGCTTAGAGACATAATTTTCAGTCATTTTAGTGGAAAGGAAACATATTTTTTATGCTTATCTCTGGATTGCTTAAAATGCTAAACATTTGAATAGAAGTATAATTAAATTTTTTTATGACAACAATTTTTCATCGCCATTTTTGTCTTTTTCCCTTTTGTTTCGGCTTGATAACTTTCGGCCTATATTATATCGGCTTATCGGCCTCATTAAGTCTTTCGATGACCAAAAAAAGTTGTGTGTGCGTGTTTGTGTTTTTCAGGGCGAGGGGAGCTTAATAACTTCTTTCAGTATTAGTTTTTTTGAATATTCATTATGATTGATTAATTTTTTCGACATTCTCGATTTTCTTGTGTTGTATCGCAAGTGGCGCGGAGCTCAGCTTCGCCTCTGTGTTTGTTATATCACTCGACCGATTCCGATGACTACTACCCGAATACAAAGTTCTTCCACATTTTTCAAATGGTCGGAACAAAAAGAGCTATTAGAATTTTTGTTTTTTGAATGATAACTTTGGTTGGCTTTCGGACATTGTTTGCTTCTGGCAGAGTAAATCGATACTCAGTTGTGAATAATTTTTTGTTTGATCTTTTGGTCAGATGGACCTTCAGTATAACTCTCGCAAATGTAATTTGATCAATTCTGTGCCGCAGACAAATGTTTGAAAAGTTTGGTCTAATTGTTGTTTGGACACTCAAACGCAGTTGCTTATGTGTATTATACGCTGTTCAGCGACGCTCTCAGAATCGCAGTTTTCAATAGTAGAAAATAATGACAGAAGATTCAATTGAAAGTGAAGTGCCCCGTTACATAACCAATTTATACATCGAGTATGGAAACAACACCAAGGTAAAAAATTACATTGTTTTATCCGGAGTTAGTTTTGCTGACCAGATTATAGACCTAAGAGATTTTCAAAAAGATGTCGTTGAGCAAAAGGTTCTTGTGGTGGATTCAAAGTTTTCTGCAGAAAGATTAGAATTGTATTACGAATCCACATTCAAAGGGATCTGGTTGGCGGACATTTTACACAGCATTGAAGATAGCGATTTATCCGATTTGCACACTGTCGAGTTCGTTTCTTATCTGAAAAACGACAGGGTTGTCAAATTGCCTTTGAAATTTTGCCTGTCAAAGAGCTCACAGGTTATGCTTGCCTCTCAGATGAATGGTCAAGATTTGGATATTGAGAGTGGTGGGCCATACTGTCTTGTTATTCCTGGTCATCTATCGGATCCTGGTTTTTACTCCATATCGTCCATTAATCTGACAACCGACTCTTGTCCAATGCCACTTGAAATGCCCATAATGTCGTTCATAACTGAACCTGAAAATGAGAATGTGTTCCAAAATCGCGACGAAGTTACTTTTGAGGGTTTCGCGTTTGTCGGCGGAGGTCGCAAAGTTCTTTTTGTAGAGTTTTCAACGGATAATGGAGAGTCATGGCATACAGCTTTTACTGAGGAAACTGAAGGTGGAGGAGAAAAGTCAGATTATGAGCTGCATAAATTTCTGTTCACGCTAGAATTGAGACAGCTGCCTAAAAATTCGAGCGTTTGGATTAGAGCTACAGACCAAAATTGGGTGACCCAGCCGGAGCAAAAGTTGTCCAGTAATTGTCCATACGACAATTCCTACTTCCGTCTTGAGTTGAAAGACTTGCCGAACAATCAGAGATCTATCGTGTACCCGGGCGCTGTACAGATTGAACATAACCATTTGATGGAACCAGTTACAGCTGTTGACAACGGACCAATGAAGGAAAGTAAAAAGGCACTGAAAAGTCATTATATAGAGAACATTTTACCGATTAAATCCAAAGGACTTAGACCGACAAATGGACTGCCCGAAGCTGTTGCAAGAACTGTTGGGGGATACAAAAAGAGAGAAATCACGGCTACTAAAAGCCAAGAACAAGGTCTCCAAGTGAATTTTAAGAAAGACCTACACAAGCCAGAATCATGGAGGAAAACATTGGGGAAACATGTTGAAATCGAGTTACGCCCAGTTGATGAGCGGAAATTGAAACCGTTTCAATCTGTCTTTATACCGAGACAAGAAAGACCAGGGAACAAGTCAGAGATTAAAACGTACAGTCGCGAGGAAGTTAAGCAGCATAACACACCTGAAGACTGCTGGATTATCATTCGGGAGCATGTGTATGACGTCACTAAATTCGTGAAAGAACACCCGATTGGTGAGTCAATCAGATGATCATTAAATGCGATTTAGCTTTAAATAATGCTGTTCCGACCATTTGAAAAATGGGGAGGAGCTTTGTATTCGGGTGTGTTTAGTGTTTTTGTTTTCTACGCAAAATCAGGTACCACAAATAATCATCGGTCTGGGTTGAGTGATATCTATTATATATTTAAAGGCGGGCTTCACTATCTCGCCTTGTTTAAGCTTTTTCAACGTATTGTTTTTGCATGTTTAAGCTATATCGTATATTATAATGGTTAAGAATTTTTTTTCGATTTGCCAATTTGATTTTAGTGGTTATTTTACCGAGTTTAAATTAAACAGCCCAATGTCGAATTAGGGGTTGCGATTTTGGCCTCCAATTTTGAATGCCCGAATCATTTTAGTTAACGAGATAAGACGATTTTTGAGATTTTTTCAAAAATTTTCAGAAATTTCAAATAACAAAATAATTCACAAAACTTGAAGTTCCCAACCCTGTAGTTGGGTGCTGTCAGAGTACTCTAAGGAGTAACAAATCTTGTCTCCAAATATAACTGTTCAAATCCTTGTAGTTTTCGAGATATCAGATATGACGTTTTTTGTGATTTTTTCAAAAAAGTTTTCTGAAAACTTATATTAATTTTTTTTCGCAAAATCTGAAATTCCCAACTCTGTAGTTGGGTCCTGTCAGAGTATTCTCAAAGATTGCGAATCTTGCCTCCAAATATGACTGCTCAATTCTTTGTAGTTTTCGAGATATGATGTTTTTTGTGATTTTCAAAAATTTTCAGAAAAATTATATTTGTTTTTTTTCGGAAAATCTGAAATTCCCAACACTGTAGTTGGGTCCTGTCAGAGTATTCTCAAAGATTGCGAATCTTGCCTCCAAATATGACTGCTCAATTCTTTGTAGTTTTCGAGATATGATGTTTTTTGTGATTTTCAAAAATTTTCAGAAAAATTAAATTATTAGTTTTTAAAAATCTGAAGTTCCCAACCCTGTAGTTGGGTGCTGTCAGAGTACTCTTAGGAGTAACAAATCTTGTCTCCAAATATGACTGTTCAAATCCTTGTAGTTTTCGAGATATCAGATATGACGTTTTTTGTGATTTTTTCAAAAAATTTTCAGAAAACTTATATGTATTTTTTTTCGGAAAATCTGAAATTCCCAACACTGTAGTTGGGTCCTGTCAGAGTATTCTCAAAGATTGCGAATCTTGCCTCCAAATATGACTGCTCAATTCTTTGTAGTTTTCGAGATATGATGTTTTTTGTGATTTTCAAAAATTTTCAGAAAAATTAAATTAGTTTTTAAAAATCTGAAGTTCCCAACCCTGTAGTTGGGTGCTGTCAGAGTACTCTTAGGAGTAACAAATCTTGTCTCCAAATATGACTGTTCAAATCCTTGTAGTTTTCGAGATATCAGATATGACGTTTTTTGTGATTTTTTCAAAAAAGTTTTCTGAAAACTTATATTAATTTTTTTTCGCAAAATCTGAAATTCCCAACTCTGTAGTTGGGTCCTGTCAGAGTATTCTCAAAGATTGCGAATCTTGCCTCCAAATATGACTGCTCAATTCTTTGTAGTTTTCGAGATATGATGTTTTTTGTGATTTTCAAAAATTTTCAGAAAAATTATATTTGTTTTTTTTCGGAAAATCTGAAATTCCCAACACTGTAGTTGGGTCCTGTCAGAGTATTCTCAAAGATTGCGAATCTTGCCTCCAAATATGACTGCTCAATTCTTTGTAGTTTTCGAGATATGATGTTTTTTGTGATTTTCAAAAATTTTCAGAAAAATTAAATTATTAGTTTTTAAAAATCTGAAGTTCCCAACCCTGTAGTTGGGTGCTGTCAGAGTACTCTTAGGAGTAACAAATCTTGTCTCCAAATATGACTGTTCAAATCCTTGTAGTTTTCGAGATATCAGATATGACGTTTTTTGTGATTTTTTCAAAAAATTTTCAGAAAACTTATATGTATTTTTTTTCGGAAAATCTGAAATTCCCAACACTGTAGTTGGGTCCTGTCAGAGTATTCTCAAAGATTGCGAATCTTGCCTCCAAATATGACTGCTCAATTCTTTGTAGTTTTCGAGATATGATGTTTTTTGTGATTTTCAAAAATTTTCAGAAAAATTAAATTAGTTTTTAAAAATCTGAAGTTCCCAACCCTGTAGTTGGGTGCTGTCAGAGTACTCTTAGGAGTAACAAATCTTGTCTCCAAATATGACTGTTCAAATCCTTGTAGTTTTCGAGACATCAGATATGACGTTTTTTGTGATTTTTTCAAAAAATTTTCAGAAAACTTATTTTAATTTTTTTTTTGCAAAATCTGAAATTCCCAACCCTGTAGTTGGGTCCTGTCAGAGTATTCTCAAAGATTGCGAATCTTGCCTCCAAGTATGACTGCTCAATTCTCAGTAAGTTTCGAGATATGATGTTTTTTGTGATTTTCAAAACTTTTCAGAAAACTTAAATTATTAGTTTTTAAAAATCTGAAATTCCCAACCCTGTAGTTATGTCTTGTCAGATTACTCTCAAAGATTGCGAATCTTGCCTCCAAGTATGACTGCTCAATTCTTTGTAGTTTTCGAGATATGATATTTTTTGTGATTTTTTCAAAAATTTTCAGAAATCTTTAATTATTATTAGTTTTTAAAAATCTGAAATTCCGAACCCTGTAGTTATGTCCTGTCAGAATACTCTCAAATATTGCGAATCTTGCCTCCAAGTATGACTGTTCAAATCCTTGTAGTTTTCGAGATATGACGTTTCTTGTGATTTTTTCATAAAATTTTCAGAAAACTTATTTTAATTTTTTTTTGCAAAATCTGAAATTCTCAACCCTGTAGTTGGGTGCTGTCAGAGTATTCTCAAAGATTGCGAATCTTGCCTCCAAATATAACTGCTCAATTCTTAGTAGTATTCGAGATATGATGTTTTTTGTGATTTTTTCAAAAATTTTAAAACTTAAATTATTATTAGTTTTTAAAAATCTGAAATTCCCAACCCTGTAGTTAAGTCCTGTCAGAGTACTCCCAAAGATTGCGAATCTTGCCTCCAAGTATGAATGCTCAATTCTTTGTAGTTTTTGAGATATGAAGTTTTTTGTGATTTTTTCAAAAATTTTCAGAAAACTTCAGAAAGTTTAAATTAATTATTTCTCGAAACTCGAAATTTCCAACGCTATAATTCGGTGTTGTCAGGGTACTCTAAAGAGTTGCAAATCTTGCCACATGCGACTGCTAAGCGCGCCTTCTCAAATGCTTTTAGTTTCCGAGATGTGACGTTTTTTGATTTTTTTTAAATTTCTCGAAGAACTTATCTACAAAGAAATTCAAAAAATTGGAAACTACTAACTTGATGAAGATACAACCTTATTGTCAGCGTACAAATCAGAAAACTTATTGTCAGCGTACAAAAGTTGAAACTACTAACTTGATGAAGATACAACCTTATTGTCAGCGTACCCAGGCGTTTCAAATCTTGCCTCTTAATATGAATGCTCAAATCCTTTTAGTTTCCGAAATAAGACGTTTTTTTTCTTCTTTTTTTTCGGGAAACTTAGATTTAAAAAAATTCACAAAATTTTGGGACTCTCAGTGGTTGCAAATCTGGCCTCTAAATTTCTCCAGAGGTCCATTAAGTTTTCGAGATGACGCTTTTAAAATGGGGTATAAAAAATTCAACAGTTCGAAATTACCAACCCTGTAGTTGGGTGCTGTCAGAGTACTCTTAGGAGTAACAAATCTTGTCTCCAAATATGACTGTTCAAATCCTTGTAGTTTTCGAGACATCAGATATGACGTTTTTTGTGATTTTTTCAAAAAATTTTCAGAAAACTTATTTTAATTTTTTTTTTGCAAAATCTGAAATTCCCAACCCTGTAGTTGGGTCCTGTCAGAGTATTCTCAAAGATTGCGAATCTTGCCTCCAAGTATGACTGCTCAATTCTCAGTAAGTTTCGAGATATGATGTTTTTTGTGATTTTCAAAACTTTTCAGAAAACTTAAATTATTAGTTTTTAAAAATCTGAAATTCCCAACCCTGTAGTTATGTCTTGTCAGATTACTCTCAAAGATTGCGAATCTTGCCTCCAAGTATGACTGCTCAATTCTTTGTAGTTTTCGAGATATGATGTTTTTTGTGATTTTTTCAAAAATTTTCAGAAATCTTTAATTATTATTAGTTTTTAAAAATCTGAAATTCCGAACCCTGTAGTTATGTCCTGTCAGAATACTCTCAAATATTGCGAATCTTGCCTCCAAGTATGACTGTTCAAATCCTTGTAGTTTTCGAGATATGACGTTTCTTGTGATTTTTTCATAAAATTTTCAGAAAACTTATTTTAATTTTTTTTTGCAAAATCTGAAATTCTCAACCCTGTAGTTATGTCTTGTCAGATTACTCTCAAAGATTGCGAATCTTGCCTCCAAATATAACTGCTCAATTCTTAGTAGTATTCGAGATATGATGTTTTTTGTGATTTTTTCAAAAATTTTAAAACTTAAATTATTATTAGTTTTTAAAAATCTGAAATTCCCAACCCTGTAGTTAAGTCCTGTCAGAGTACTCCCAAAGATTGCGAATCTTGCCTCCAAGTATGAATGCTCAATTCTTTGTAGTTTTTGAGATATGAAGTTTTTTGTGATTTTTTCAAAAATTTTCAGAAAACTTCAGAAAGTTTAAATTAATTATTTCTCGAAACTCGAAATTTCCAACGCTATAATTCGGTGTTGTCAGGGTACTCTAAAGAGTTGCAAATCTTGCCACATGCGACTGCTAAGCGCGCCTTCTCAAATGCTTTTAGTTTCCGAGATGTGACGTTTTTTGATTTTTTTTAAATTTCTCGAAGAACTTATCTACAAAGAAATTCAAAAAATTGGAAACTACTAACTTGATGAAGATACAACCTTATTGTCAGCGTACAAATCAGAAAACTTATTGTCAGCGTACAAAAGTTGAAACTACTAACTTGATGAAGATACAACCTTATTGTCAGCGTACCCAGGCGTTTCAAATCTTGCCTCTTAATATGAATGCTCAAATCCTTTTAGTTTCCGAAATAAGACGTTTTTTTTCTTCTTTTTTTTCGGGAAACTTAGATTTAAAAAAATTCACAAAATTTTGGGACTCTCAGTGGTTGCAAATCTGGCCTCTAAATTTCTCCAGAGGTCCATTAAGTTTTCGAGATGACGCTTTTAAAATGGGGTATAAAAAATTCAACAGTTCGAAATTACCAACCCTGTACTTGGGTGCAGTCTGAGTACACTAAAAGTTTGCAGATGTTGTTTCCAATATATGCGATTTTTCATGAGCTGTCGAAAAATTTCGAAGCACCGAAGGTGCGTTAAACGCTAGTATTTTTTAAATTGAGCTAGACATTTCCAGCCATGTTTTAGAGTTCCCTATGTTGACATGTTTAAGAGCTTTTAACATGTTTTATCTATCATTTTGCCTTCTTTTTTTATCTATCTGTTTATCTATCTTTTTTATCGACCTTTTTTATCTATCTTTTTTAGTTTTTATAGATTAAGAGAATTCACGTATAAAATGCGAAAACCAAAAAAATGTTGCTTTGAGCTTCCAAATTGTAAAACTAAAACAACAAGCCATTCAATTTTGAATAGAGGTACTAAATGATTAAATATTCTTTTGGAAATTAACGCATTAGTAGTAGTAGTCCCTGGAAAATTTGAAGGCGTTTCACTTCATAATACGTCTTTAAACGAACTCTAATCTAGATCTTGAATTTTCTCAAAGTTATCAATTTCTTTACAATTTTTGTTAAAATTGTTTCTGAAAAACAATGAAATGAGGCACCATGTACAATCTAATATCTGAATAAAAATATGCATAAATTTTCTGATTTACAACTCTTACAAGACAACAATTTCAAGACAAGTTGCGTACTTAGCTAACTGCCTATTTTGTTATTGAATTTTAATGTTCGACCCATTGCGGGGTTTATAACATTGTTTGACCGTAAAGATATCGAGTTTCAGCAGGTGATGCAAGCAGCGTCTCTGTAAGCAATCAGACTTTCAAGTATGCCGGTTTCGATGACGCTAATTAATTTTGCTTATACAGCAGATTTTTTTGTTAAGTAAGCTATATGATAATTGCAAATGAGTAGGAACCGTTTTACCGCCAAACCTTTTCAATGCGATATTTTTTGATAGCTGTAATGTCGATGCGCAATCTCTTGTCACGAGCGAGAGAATCACTGAAAAATGCGGTTTTGATATCCAAACTGCTGATTTTCCAACTGTGATTACTGGCTACGGAGAAAAACAGCTTGATAATTTCTCGAGAAGCTATTGAGAAATGTTTTGATCCATGAAACCACGTGAAACTACTCGGCGCCCCAAAGCGCCATCTTCGGTTATCTTCGAGATCAGTACCCAGCGTTTTTCAATTGTCGTTTGGCCTGTATTCTTCACTGGTGCAAAAACAAAGCTCTTTCCATGAACTCAGTTCGCCTGCAAACTTAATGTCACTAGGCTCTAAAACGCCGAAACACTTCCCTCATCTATGACGTTGAAATCAGTGTTTTGATAAAATTTACTCATCCAATCTCTTGCCTGAAAAGTCTTCTGGCACCTGATAAGCTACATTTTATTAGGTTTTCCGTTTATCATTTGCCTTTCCTGCTCGATTTTCTATTTTCCGGCGAAATATTCTTTGCCATTTTCTATAATTACTGTGATCTTCACTGCGGCATTCTTTTTTATTACTTTAGCTGCTGTTCTGTCGATCTTCTGTCTTTCCTGAAACTGTGGCAGAGTTTCATTGGAAAATTGTGCTTCAAAGGGTTTTGTTACTAGGCAAGTTCTTTCCGTTGAGCCAAAAATAGTGTTCTGACCTTGCGAAGAACTTCGCTATCTGTTTGTTGGTTTCAGCTGCACTGTTCTGTGCAGTTGACTCTATCGTGTCAGCCAGATAGTCATTCTCGTCAACCAATTTGTTCTATTGGGATCCACGAATAACTGACTCTGTCCCAAGAACAGCATGTGGCTCGAAATTGTCAGAAGTCATCATCAATCGACGTGGCAGATAGGTCCGGCTCGTATCATATTAAAGCCCTTTCAGTCGGGATTCGAACTACATAAAAAAAGACTTTTTTAAACGTTATTGTGCAAAAAGTTTGAAGACAAATGTTGTCGATCATGCCTAATTCGCTAATTTTTGACGCGTTCATATTGTCCTCGAATCACACCATCCACTATAAATGACACTAATTTAACGAAAACTAAAAGAAAACTTTTTGGTATTTTTTCATGATTATGATCAGAACATTCTGTGCTACTTTCACAGTAACTGGCTATTCTTGTTTGTCCTTGTAAAGTTTGTCTTTATTAGTTCATTGTTATCAGCCAGAGGCTGGGTTTCGAATCTTTCTTTTCCTAGATTTTCTTTTTCTGTCATGACGTATTTGCGTATGTTTGAAGAGCTCAATTTTACCGCTCTTTTGCTTGCTTCACCTCTGGTTAAGTTATGACCGAGTTTTTTGTTTCAAATGTTTTTCGGGCGCTCTCTTTCCGCCGTTTTATGTTGCCCCGCATGTTTTTGTGACCTGCTCCGGTGACTGTGTTTTTAGTCCTTTCTTGGTCTAGCTAATATCAGTAATGTCAAGAACATAAGTCACATTGAATGTAAGTTAATTCTACGGACGTTTTGGTTCTAAATGATCCGGAAGATATGATTTTTATTTCCTAGATCTTAGCCGTCCAGCGTTTTAAAGGTTTGAGCACTTTCAGATTTAAATGAGTATATTTGACATTTCAAGAAAAAGAAAAGAAGAGCTTCTGGCTCTTAGATCCAAATTAAAGAAAACCGAAGAAGAGAAAGATGCAAATGATGACACAAACAATAATGCTACAGAATCGGTGAAACCGAAATTTAGGAGCTACCAACCAACTTCAGACACCTTGAAAAAACAGATGTTTGGATCAGCACAACCAGTAGACGTCTCAGAAACGGTCGAATCCGAGGTAGCCAATAGACATCTGAGAACCCTGGAGAACATCGATTTTTCAGATTTGGCTCCAAAGAAGCCTGATTGGGATTTGAAGCGGGCAATTGAACCCAAGTTACGAAAGCTAGAAAGGAGGACAGAAAAGGCGATTGCGGAGATAGTGAGAGAAAGATTGCAGAAGGAAGCTTCAAATGATAACCAAGAGGCAATGGACGAATGAAGCGCATTTGAATTTTCAGAAAATTTGTCAGTTTTCAAAAGCGAGTTCACAGGTGGAGAAAGTTTTGTGGCTGAAGGCGGTAATGCTAGAAAGAGCAAAAAAGATTTGAAGGGGAAAAAAGCAACAAGGCGGAATTCACGTGGAATTAAAACATTTATACCACAAACTTGAGCTGGGCAAATATGCAAGTGTTATTCTATGCAGCGTAGTTTTCATGTACATAAATTTTGTGAGTGAGTTCAAAATTGTATTCGTGTATTTGTTAGTAATTGCACTGAAGATTTCAGTTGAATTTAGTTCACAGCTTTTTGCAGAGTGTGCAGAAGAAACCGTTGGCGGTGACTGAGAATTTGCCCTGCCCTATCTGTTTGCGACACTTTGCACACAGGAAACAGTCCTCGTGATAGTGGGAAGTCCTGTACTCCACGTACTTCCCTAAAATAGAAATCAAAGAAGTTGTTTTGCTCATGAGGTTTATTTTTGTGTTAGCTTCGGAGACTTTAGAGTCATGTAAGAGCTTTGAAGTTTTAAAAACATGGCCAACTGACAGTTGGAAAAGAGTGATTAACGCAATTGAGTTAGAACCGAGTTGGTTAACTCATAGAGTAATTTCGGATAGGGTACACCGTCTGCTCGTCACGCTATCTTATTTTCGGCCGGATAGATTCGTGCAACTTCTTAGTCTAATACCGATCCTAATCTTACTCTTATACTATCTAGTCTCAGGTTGTTTAACTAGTCTCTGCTAGGCTCAATAGATCTAGGGTATACTGGTTTATTGCGGCTGCTGAAGTGCTCGGGAGAGTCCAACTAATTTCTAAGTTAAATTCAAATCTCTCTGGTGCTGAAATTACAAGTAACTTCAGCACTTACAAATAAGTGGGTTGTTAGTTAGATGGATCGTGATTGGTTAATATTAAATACTTTACATTGGTAAAACATTTAATTTATCCAATCATAAAATATAGTTTAGATCAGGTTCCACCCATCCGGGTTTTACAGAGTTTTTTAGAACAGTTCTTCTGTAATTCAAGGATGGATGATGGACGTTGGTATTTGGTGAACATCATAATTTTCTTCCGCTTCTTCTTTGTTAAAGAAGTTTCAGGAAGCTGGAGTTAGGGACATAAGACGTTGTGTTCTTCTTGTGACAACGACTGAGTCTCTGCAACAAAATCAATTCTGATTTCAGAATGGTTGGCTATGTCAGGTTTTTCTGTTCTTCGGGGAGAACTTCTTTTGTGTCTGATCTAGCTTGGGAATGGCGTGGAGATTGTGCGTGGAGGGGATGCCTGGTTACTCGGATCTGTACGTACACTTGGGTCATCGAGGTGGTCATTGGTCTAGTTCAATGAAGTCCTTTTCTGCGAGGTCAAGTCGTACTCTAAATCCTTTGAGTTGTGATTGTGAGCGGCATATTGATTGTAGTTGGTCATTCTCTCTCGAGTGTGGTGGGGTCGTTTTGTCTTTTGATGTTCGTCCTTGGTGTTGTATTCTGATCTATGTATTGCATCATGTGATTTTACATTTTATAAAACTTTTATTAGTTTAATATATTTTTTAATAATGATTTTAGTTAGTTGTTTTCACAAAAGCTTTTTGTTTTAGTTCGGTTATTTTGAAGAGTTACTCACACTTGAGTAGCTCTTATTAAAAATAGAGGTGTGGTCACAAAGCGTGGGTGTAGCACGGTGGGTTAGGCCGGCTATAGAGCATGCTCAGGACGTCCTTCCTGGTGGGTTAGGCCAGGAGTGGGAGTATGATTTCATGCGGTTTTTGTGAGGGGTCCTGTTATGTGACAACGTTTTATGTTGGGTTTGTTGTGGTCTTACTTATGTCTTGTTGGTTATGTACTTTTTCCAAAAAGCAAATTGTTTGTGGTATGGGTTTGTCTTTCGACTTTTTTGTGTTTTATTATTTCTTTCTAAGACTTTGTAATAGTCTTCAAAAGAATAAATTATCCAGTTTTAAACTGGGTTAATCCGGTTTGGGTACCGTTGGTTTCCTTTTCTTAGTCATGCTGTTATTCTATGATTTGTGGTATTTAGTAAGCTGCGTTGGTTAGTTTTGTTTAGTATATGATTCCTTTCCAACCGGGTTAAAGGAAAGTTTGAAACATGTTATTATATGTTAGAGTTGTTGAGTGTGAAAACTTGAAACTGAAATTCATTATTTTAAACAATTCTTCGTGGGCGAGCTGTGCGAGTGTGGATAGAATTTTTGTGCGAATGAATGAAAATATCAAAAGGTTAGTACTGCATTTGCATTTATTTAATTTACTACATAGAATTTAGAAATTTACTGCTAGTCATGGGGGAATATTAAGATACAAATTTTCATCATAATTAGATTTACTGCTTTGGGGGAAAATATTAGAGATGAATTTACTGCATTGATATTAAATTTAGAAATTTATAAGTGTAAGAGATTAATAGAATTTTAAAATTGTTTGATGAAAATTGTGATTTTTATTGTTTCTTTTGTGGTTTTTGTAGGTGATTGTCGGATGAAAGCTAAAAATCTAAGGAAAACATGAATAAAGAATGGTGAGTTTTTAATACTGTAATTAGTTAGTAATATTTACTTAATTCATACTTACCTGTTAGTCGTCGGGGAAAAAACCGTGGGGGAAGATGTCGTGAATTAGTTCTGAAGTTGTTAGTAGTTTAGCTAAGATGCGGATGATATTTTTAGTCTGAAGCAGTGGCCAAAGCAATTGGAGTGCCTTGATAGTGGTTAGTTCTTCAGTGCCTACTGCAAACTCATAAGGTGTGTTTTGGATTAAGTTATATAATTTGTGATTAAATTTAGTGTTGTGGATGAATTCTAAAATTGGGATTTCTATAGGTTGTACAAACTCGTGCGGGATAAGGAAGGGTCGGGATTCTTCGGCGTTGAAGGTCTTGGTGATGGGACAGAAGATGTACATTTGGGTTATGGGGTCATAATTACGAAGAATACCATGGAGGTTAGTGTCTTTAATACAATATGTGAAATTTAGGAAAAATGGTGAAGTGTATTTGGAATTAATGAATTGAAAGCGATGGTGTGGTTGTCTAGAGGGTGTGTGTAGGTCAAAGTGATTTTGGATGAAGCGATAATAACTATATGTGTGGGTTTGTTTAGTGCGCAACATAATATCGTGTGAGCAGTGTAAATCTCTTTCGTGTGGTGCAAGGAAATGAAAGGTTAGTGAAAATATTTGGAAGCGTTCTTTAAAACTTTCGTATGCTTGTGTGTCTGTTAGTGCTTCTGAAATAATGTGATCAAACTTTCGGTCGAAGATGTTTAGTGTGAATATATATGGTGTCTTGATGAAAAATTTCTCGGTAATTTGTGGATTAGCGAAGCGATCGTCGTCTAAGAATTGATCTTGGTTAGCTCTGATGATGTTGTGATCATAGTATTCGAGTGTATATTCGTTAGCTCTAGGTGCAGTGTGTGTTTTTAGTGATTTTTTATATCCAACGTAAGTAAATTGTCTAGGTGTTAGTGGTGTAGTGAGTCGATATAGCATGTCCGTATTTCGCTCTATATCGATGTGAGTGTTAGATAAAGGTAAGCAAAGAGGATTAGTAAAATGATAATATGAGGTCCAAGAGAGAGTGGGCATTAAAACGTATTCATCTACAAAGTTGCGTGTTTCGTTAGTGTCGTGGGGGGTGTTTAAGGTGTATTGTGGGAATGAGGGTAAGGTGATGGCTAAAAATTCTTTTGTGTTAGTATGCTTGGGGTGGTTGATGTATTCACGGGCTGTTCCTGGTTTTGCTGGGAAAGGATGGTTGGGGAACTTTCTTTTAAAAGTGCGGTAAGCTCTATTAGTGTTGAGTGAAGATTCAGTTGATGTGGATGATGGTGCTAATGATTCAGTATAATTTGAAGAGGGTGTAGGGGTAGGGGGGTTGGATGAATTTATTGTGGAGGAAATTTGGTTTATGGTTGGGGTATTAAGGTGGTAGGGTTGTTGTTGAAGGGTAATAAAATTATCTAGCTCTGGGGAGATTCGGGGGGTGTCTGGAGAATGAGATGATTGGTCAGAATGGTATGAGGAGTAGGTTGGGGTAACTTGGGAAGCATAAGAGGGTGTGGGAGTGATTGGGTCAGGGTTATTGGATAATATGGGTTGAAAAGGGGGTTGAGAAAATTTAGAAGAGTTATGAAAATGATTTGATGGGGATGGTTCTGAGTCGGCAAATTCATCGGGGGTTTCAATATTCGGGTTATTGAGTTGTGAGATGGAATATAAAACTGAGATGTGTGAATTAGTGTCGGAATTCATGCCTGATGTTACATTACTAGATGGAAAATCGGGTGGCGGAAAAGCAAAAAGTGGTATTATTGGGATTGGAGAGGTAAGATTGGTTGGGTGGGAATTTGATCGGTGTAGTGATCCAAGTTGGCGGCTCATCGTGGGCTAAAAAAATGATTATTTTGAGACTGAAAAGCGGTGGTATGGGGTTGTTCAATAATTTGTTCATAAGTATTATCATCTTGTGACTGGTGTGTCATTATATGTTGAATGGGACTTTGTGATGTGGTGAGTCGAAAATTTGGATTATGTGTGATGGCTAAATTTCGAAAATTTCGTGGGACTAGGGATAGTGGATGGTTGTTTGGTAGGGGTGGTAATTGTGGTGCCGTTGGCGTTATGTCTACATTGTTATGTTCTTCGTCGTATGTATTTTGTCGTGTTGCTATTTTTGTGTTATATTCTTTTATTTGTGCGTCTAAAAGAATTTTGTTTATAGATGTAGAAAAGATTCCAAAAAATCCTGCAAAGAGTATGCGTGCTACACTTGCTTGTCGATTGACTTGTGTGTGTATAGCACATGTGTTGTAGATTCCTTTTAAAAGTGAGAAAAGAAATCCAATAAAGTTAAACATTGCGTATAAAATAGTCAATTTTTCTAAGATGTAGTAGGGCCATCCTAGAAAATCGAGGATCTCATTTTTGAGTGTAACAAAGCTAAAAATGTTAATTGGTGATATATCTTGGGGACGGTATTTTTCACCGTTTAGATATATATAATCTTTAATGTCTTTAAAATATCCGCTATAGTCTTGCGTGTAGATATCGGCAAATCCTGCGGTTTCTGCAAGTTTGCGTAAATTTTGGTCTATTGATTGTCTTTGTATAGTGTCCATTTGTGTTAATAATTCTTGGAATTGTTGTGTTCTAATGTGATGTTGAATATCTGATTTTGAATAGATTCCTATTGATTGTAAGTCTATATTTGGGTTTCGAGCAATAGCGCGAATGCTTTCTGGTGAAAATTTTTTGAGTGATTGCATTAATGTGGGATATGGAGTGAGAAGGTAATATTTATTTTCATCAGGGTTTAGTTGTACTACATTGTGGCTGTTTTCTGATCCACATGGGACTGCGGTATCCCAGAAATAGGTTCTTCGTGAAAGTGTATCCACGAAATGTACTT